GTGTGTGTGGGTGTGTGTGTATGTAACTTTACTCTCTGCATTTTGCCACATGTCAGCAAAGGCTCAGTCATCTTTCTCTCAGACATACGCACACACAGGATTTAGTCTGTGCACTATAGAAAATTACTTGAGGGAAAGAGTCATGTGTGCCGGACAGAGAAAACTCGACAAAGGGTTGACGTGTGTGTTCTCTTGCATTTCCTTGGCACTGGGAATCAAGCAAAGCTGATTTTAGGAGGACTACAGGAGCACGTGTGATGGAGATGACAGGAAAACCACCCACAGTCACACAGGAAGTATTAGCACACTGTGAAATATACACATGGGCAGATAAGCATAGAAAACACTTCATCATACAATCTCACCTTGTTTGACTCTATTGGGTTGTAATTAATCTAACAATCAGTCATAGAAGAGAATGCATGAGCATGTTCAGTAGACTAAACACAATTTCTAGTTGGGGTTACCCATGACTTTTACAAAACAAAGAAAACAATTTATTTCTTTGTTCAATTTCTAACGCATTTCAAATTACTCCCAGCATGTGGCTAATTATGTCTTCCTCTGTTCCTTAAATGTCTTAACAACAGATAAAAAGTATTGAAGTATTTGTTTTATTCCTCTGGCTCAGTGTCTCATCAGGGCAAGCAGTTCCACGTGAGTCCACGTTACTGTTTTCTTCCTTCGCTTAAATCTCAGCTCACCACCCTGAGAGTCTTATGACTGCCTTAGACTGTTATTGTACATCGCCAACTAATTGACACACCACTGTCTTTGTGCTTCCTTGTCAACAAGACGAGCAGCAAAGACAATCTCCACTTTCTGTCACCTCTGTCACCAGCATACTAACATCTTTACACTCCTCTGCATGTCTCTTGCTCAAACTCTCCGTACCTCTTTGACACACAGGGCAGAAGTTGCATCAGTGCACCATATTGTAGCAACAGCATCCTGTGATGAGTTGTGTGCCATCCTGTCTCATGTTTCAACTTTTTGTGAACCTTTATGTATCTACAGGCCGAGAATCAAAGCTGATCAGAGCTGCCCAGTGTGCCCATCTTGTTCAAACCACAGAGAAACAATACAAGAGCAGTTGGGACGTAGATGTATGTGAGAATGTCAACAGTTTCACTCACTTCAGTACAATGCAATTTCACAGAAACTGAGGGGATTTTTTTACCAAGAGGTTTCTAGTAATAACCTTGTTATCTTATCATCCACACTCTACAGATATAAGATTTATGAGGTTTGATTTCCAGCACCTCAGACTGCCACAGTCATCAGAAATCAAAACCAATAAATACCCAGTTACATATAGGCTTTGATTGTTCAGCATCCTCTTCCTCATTCGATACTCATTTATGCAATATGCATTAGTGGTAATATGATTCACTGCAGCATCTGTTCACATGTATAAATCAAAGTGGGTTAACTGAAGGGATGTGTATGAAATAAACAAAACGATGAGTAAGAAGGAAAGAGGGGCAAGAGCTGCACCATACTTCCTCAGTTCGTTAGATTTTTCTGTTGGTCATGCTAGTAAGTAACCACTGAATCATTCTGCATCTCACAGGGGTTTCAACATTTTAGAAATATAAATCTGGCCTATTGTACATACAATAACATTTTAACAACCATGTATTTTTAAACAATGAAGTCTCCTGAGCAATAATCTTGCAACAAACCAAACCACGAAGACTAATTTCTATCATGACTGACCCAGAGAGTGAAGCCATCTTTCACAGGAGACAAACCACAGTTGGAGCATCTTCGAAAAACAACTGTGAAAGCTATTGTGATGCTAGTATGACAGGATTCATATTTCCTCTCAGTAAAACACAGCCTTAACTCAAGACAAACAGTTTCAGAACAATTGTGCAATCAATCCCAAAAGAATGCAAACTTAAATAAATCTGGAAAGAGAAAGTTGAACATGAACTACCTCATTGCTGCTGTTTTAAATTACACACAAACATCATGTTGATAGGAAACACGAAGTAAATGTTTCCCTTGACTTGAACTTTCCTACCTGTTGGTAGGACTGTGGCCCTTCTCAAATAAAATGCAGCAAAAACCAAAACACGTGCAGCTTAACCCAGTGTGTAATCTGCAACAGTATTGCACTATGATTCAGGTTGTGATTTCATTTTGTGAACCTTTATACAGGACAGCAGTAAAAGACTGTCAAAAGTACAATAAATTGTTTAAAGAATTTAAATTCAGTACCTGGATGGAATTTAAACACCTCAGGAACGACAACCAAAAAAAGAGATGATATTAAAGACCTCATACGGTTCATAAACAGGAAAAGAAACAGCACATACACTAAAGAGGTGACAGTTGCATGAGTCTTACCTGGAGTTCACACCACGCCACTTCCACCGTCGTCTCCGTATCCAGTCCTTTGTAGACCGTCTTGAAGGAGCCTCTTCCAATCTCAATGTCAAATTTCAGGAAGCGTCCATCTGGTGAAGTCCCCACAGCTTTTGTCTCTACCTCCTCTATATCCTCCTGCACTCGTTTCTCAGCTTCTCTCAGCTCGGCTCGTGCTTTAGCTAGACCCTTCTCCTCCTCCGTCTCCCTCTCCTTCTCTTCAGCCGGACTACTAACGCTGCTCCCTTCTACATGTTCGATCACTTTTCCACCTTTTGCCACCTGTTGTGTGTTCGCGGACCCTCTGGGTGTCAATGTTACGTCAGGCTGTTTGGCTGCTGTGCTTTCTGTAACATCCAATACTGTCGGGCTGGACACTTTCTCTGCCTCATCTGTATGTTCAACACTGCTACTGGTGGGAACTGGAACTGTGACACTGCCTTCTACTAGATCTTCCTCAGTGTTTTGTACATGTCCTTCTTCAACAGCCCCACTAACCCCAAGACAAGGATGACGGGTACTGCTTTGTAAATAGGAACCTCTCTCAACCTCATCATCACACACCCCAGGTCCAGGCCCTGGGGGCTGTGGAGTGAAGAAGATGGGCGACCCTTCACAGTCTGGAGGTGAGGTCAGTATCACAGCTGCTTTGCTGGGCAGGTCTAAAGCTGTGGCGTTGGAGTCACAAATGACGCTGCGACGGAAGAAGCGGTGCTCCGCTGTTTTAGAGTCTCTATCCATCGTGTGGCGCCGGCGTGGGACCTCCGTGACTCCACCGAGCTTCTCCACCACATGCGAGTCTGAACTGGCAGAGCCATTCACATTCTTTTGAGGGGTCTGTGGTGATGGACAGGCAGAGGCAGAGGGAGGAGGGGGGTCTGGGGCAATGAATTTCACCGCTTTGCTGCTGCTATTGCTTTCAGACATCCCGCCTGACGCTCAGAACACAAGAGAAAAATTCTATATGTATAAATAAGGAATTATTTTTTAAAATTAGTAATCACATTAACCTAATTGTAAACTGATTGTTGGTGCAAATCTTGACCAGCAAGCTCCTGTTTCAAATGAAAACCTCCGATCAAACTAAAAGCAAAGTGGGCAGGTTAGAAAAAATATATCAATTGACTACAGTAATCCGTGTTATGTTCTGTAGTTTTTTTTTGTTTTTTTAAATGAAGAATTTATGAACTCCACTTCCCCTTTGCAATGTCAACTTGTTTCAACAAGAAAACTGACAGTTCCTGTTGGGCCCTTCTGTACAGGGCTCAGGGAAGCCCCAGGAGAGGCTGAGGGGCTTTCTCTTGAAGACTGGGGAGGGAGGGGACGAAAGGCAGTCAGAGGAGGGAGAGTGCAAGCACTGCAATGACGTGACACCTGTCAAATTAACACCTGAATCCATTCTGCAGCCAACATCCAGAGAGCAACCACCATGACATGGAAGAATTGGAGATCTAGCAGACCACTGTGGCCTTGTGAAGGCTAAGATGAAACAGGGTTGGAATCCAGTCTTTTACAGCTTGACTTGACTGAACTGACTGAAGCCTCCTAAGCTCACTGAGGACAGGAAGCTGGTGAGGCCAGACAGAAGGCTAGCCTAGCCTGGCCTGGCCTGGCCTGGCCTGGCCTGGCCCAGCTTTGTTCTCTTCTGTTCTTCTTGCTGTAAAATAAAATGAGAGAGAGAAAAGAGCTAAAAGATTAAACTATATATGCTTTATACATCTGAGCATACATCTCAAAATTCACCTCTCACTTGACAACATCACTGACCCAGCCAACTTCATGGGACTCATAAATGATACTTGGTTGCCAAAGTGTCGAGTATAAAATACAAGCTGTCCGAGACTGTGATATTTTACCACCATCTGGCTCATGATCAGTGATATTAGTGACACAAGCAGGGTGGGAAATGAACACAAGCCTAGCTCTGCCATAAGTTTTATAACAGGTGAAAAATCTCTCCCTCTCTCTGGCCACTAGGTAGAGATATATCTTTCATTTGAATGTTCATTTCCAAATAAATTGGGTGGTTAAAAAAAGAGTAAAACACTAAATGACAAAGCTGGGTTCACATCATACAGTAAATATTAACTTTAATAAAAGTATGAAATTCATGATTCCAGATACATTGAACGTATTAGACTCAAGCTCAGTGTCAACATAGAGATCTACATCCCACCTCGGTGTTTCCCCCCGCCAATCGCCCCTGTGTTGTTAACGCAGTGGAGTGGAGCAGAAGAGTGCGCGCCTAATTGCTCCACATTTCCAAATTTAGCCCAAAGTCACAACAGCCTGCCTGACCCCAGGGTTAGACTCCTCCATGGCAATTCAGCAGCTTAACAGGAAAGAGGTGGGGAGTGACAGAGATAGAACCACTGCACAGAAACTAAATGCATATCTGGGGACAGTGTACGTGTATATAACATTACATATTAAATTACAGAAAACTTAAAAGGGGGCAAGAAATAAGCATTGCTGAATTTGCAATTTGCCTGACATTACATCCTATGGATAACTCATACTGAGCTGTCTAGCACAGAGGAGCAGTAGCAGATGTTGTATGATGTTAGGAATCATTCATTCATGTTCAAAACAAGCCTCATCAACAGTGATGCAAGAAATGTGCAGAATAATTGTTGCATTTTTCTTTGGTCATCTATGGATTCTCTTTAATGACATTGGTTTAATATGAATGGGTAATTCAACTAAAGTAAATAAACTAAAAACCTAAATCACTCTCACTCTACTCAACCCAGTTGTGACCCTTTCATAAGAATACATATGCACCTGGAAACAAGAAATCCAACATGTTCTCTGAAGTTATTTTTGCATTGAATATAAAACTTGCTATTGTTCTGAGAATACTGTTTTACCTTCGCTGAGTAAGATTTGTGCCAACAGTTTCCTTATATTGACAATTGACCACCAGAGATTAATGTGATTAATGTCCCACAGGATACTGTATATTGTTTCAAACAAGGTAAGCGGGTGAAGGATTAGTACTGAAGAGGTCACACTAGGTATACGTGCAATCAAGAAGTATATAATTAGGATTTTTTTTTATTGTGCAGCTTCCTTTGCTATTTTATGATTTATGCAATGATTTTTTATGAAATGTATTAAATCGGGTCTGAAATAATCCTTCAGATTACAGAGCCTGGAACTCATTTTGCATGTGATGGCACCTGGCTGCCCTGCAGGTTTTTAAAGGAGTGTTTCACTCAACCAGATGTCTCATCTTCCAGTCCAGGTGTACACAGTCCTGAAAGGACATACAGTGATCAATGAGGTAATACATTACACAATGACATCAACTGAACAGAGTAGACTGATGATGACTTACAGTGGTAGTCTCTGAAGTGGTTTACAGGTTGTGTTTCATGTAAATCACAAAGAAAATCCCTCAGATCTCACTATTATACTGGACAGCTGTGTGACCCCAGTGCCTGAACGGACAGACCCATCATCAGACTCTTTATAATTTGATGTTAGGTTAAACTTCAGAATCCCTCTGGGAAATCATTTAAACTTAATGCTGCTCAAATAAAAACATCTGTCTCTCTGCGGCTGCAATTATGACATGTAGCTTATTTAAGAAATGAGCCATGAGGAGATGTTTTTACAGTGAACTCACATATCAAATACTTTCTTATGTTTTATATTCTATAACAACAAATTGTGATTTTAAGACTAATGTAAGACTATAGTATGTGATATTAACTAAATAAAAGCTTTATCACTCATATTTAAAAAATATAAGGTTCTTAAAGTTGAAATATTCAAAATGAAAGCTAAATATAGCTAAATTAAAAAAAATTTGTTTAAAGAAGAAGTAACTGGCTAGCAATTACAATTTAAAAAACGAATTAGTGTCAAAATGATCATTGAAACAAGGTTTAAATTAGAAATGAATCAAATGTTTTTAACATTAAAACCTGGAGAAATGAAATACTGTTTTGAAAAAAAGAGCACAGGGGGAAACCAAAACGTAAATCCACAGGAACCTATAGGTGCACAGGTAGTTCAGGGGATTACAGGTTACCTTGTGTTGAATGAAGTGGTAATAGTGAAGTTTTGAATATTAAATTCATAATGGATGGACGTGACTCACTGGGCTGTAGTGGGTCTGTGCTAAGTGACCTGAGCACATCGTGGAGTGAGGGGCTCACCGCTGCCTGAAAGAAACTCAACAAGCCCCGGCTGTGCAGCTAACTTCACCTCCAGGCTAAACAAGGCAACAAAAACAGCCATTTTATAATAAAGAGTGGTGATACATGGAAATAAAACGTACCTCTTACATCGGTGTGCACTGTGTTGAGGGTAAAACTTGATGAAGAAGCCTGGAACTCCTCTGCAGTGGGGGTCCGCTCCGACACAGAGCTAACGTCTGTTAGTGCGTCACATTAAAGCCACAGTTGGTTGCTTTAAAAAAAAAAACAAGAGAGAAAAAGACGATATTTACAGAAAATGTCCCCTCGGTTGTGTCCCTGTCCTCATTAAAAGGTCCGAGCAGGGAGACTGGGAGCGGGACGCGGCACAGCGGACTAACAGACACCTCCCACCGGGAAGAGAGAGGAGCCAAGTTCGCTCGCTGGTGTCGCGGCGGCTCTGGTGCTTCTCTCAGGCTGCCTCCGAGCTGTCGGTGCCCGGGTCCGCAGCCGCTTCAGAGCCGCAACAGCCTGACTCACACTCCGCTCATGTCTTCATCCGTATCCACATCCAGTCCAGCTCCTGCCACCGTCCTGGGCTCGTGTGTGTGTGTGTGTGTGAGCGCGAATAATCCGACGTGATCCACACTTATTCCCCCCCGTTTTCAAGCCATCAAACGGCGGATCGTCCGCTCCGTCCGCTCCGGGCTCTTCTCCAGCGATGACTCGACAGGGCGACTACGGGGCTTCACACCGAGGCGCCGCGGCAAGGCAGCGGCCGTGAGCCCGGAGGATACCGGAAACAGAGGAGTTCTACCAGAATAAAGAAAAAAATCACCAGCAACGTGTATGGTAGTGAAAAGACTAGGATACATTTCTATCAGTACCACACTCAAATGTATTGTTGAAGCACCTTTTACATGTGCTACAGCTCTTATTTATACAAGGTTTTAATGAGGAGACCCAGCTGTGGCTCAGGTGTGTCTACTGCTCTTAGGCTGTAACACATATTTTTGTTATTTACAAAAATCATGCTTTGACGTGAGTGCGTTGATACAGAAAATAATAAAAGCACATGTCGTGCTAATTTTTTTAATCTGTTTATTTTACATTAACAACCAACTATGGTTCAGTACTGATACAAGAAACTGCAAATATTCAATTTAAAAATCAGGTTGTCAAGTAATAGGTTGAATAGTTCCCTCGACATATGCTCTAGATTACCTATAATTGCCAAATATTCTTGAATACACCAGACCCTTTAATAAAACAAAAGTTGAACACGTTAAATTTAAATGTATTACTTTACATCACTTTCTATTAGTAGCAGTTGTCAAATTACGACTTGTTGTACTTAACCACTATGACACTGAATCTAACTCACTACATTATTCACTGAATTCATACTGTCAACTCAACTCCACTGAAATATATTGCTATATGGTTATTTAAGACGTTTTATTTTGACTGGTAATACCGGAAGTGATGAGTGTCTCTGTGTGTACTCTTCACCTGAGCTGGTAGAAGTATTCAGATCTTTCCTCTGTACTTCATTACAAGTAAAAATCCTGCATGAAAAATCCTGCTGTAAAAGTACAGAAGTACTAGCAGCAAATTGTAGTATTAAAGTGAAAATACACGTGTATTTCCTCTGATATATTCTTATGACTAACACAATTAGATGACTAATACTGAAGCATCAGTGTAACAGCAGCATGTTACTGTTGTAGCTGCTGCAGATGGCGCTAGTTTGAAATATTCGTTTATACACAGGGACACCAGTTCAACATGAGGGGTTGTGGGATGATTAATGAGAGTAGAAATAAAATATAAACAAAGTTCTGATACAAAAGTGTTCTCAAATCTGTACAATCATTTAAAAAAAAAAAAATGTGAGAAGTTAAGAAGGAAAAATGACAAGTAGCCGGTGGTTTTAACAACTCATAGACAAGTGAAATGTGTCAGAAGCCAAGGTTGGAAACTACTAGGTTATTCTCAAGCAATATGTTTTTAAAGCATGTTAAATCATTCAGTATGTAAAATGCAAAAATATACTATTGACTAAGACTGTCAAACATATGTAGTAAAGTAGAAAGTACAATGGTTTTCTCTGAAATGTGGATCGAAAGCAGTATTACATTGTACTCAAATACAGAACCAATGTTAATATACTTTACTGTCCTCGACTGCTGTCCTTTGACTCCCTGTGGTAGACCAAACTTTTATCATAACAGCTGAGTTTGTTCCTTTTAAAGACTGCACATCAGAATCTCACTATTTAACTTTTACCTGATATCGAGCTGCAGCACCTCAGGCAAGAATAAGAAAAACAGGATCATCAGTTGTAAAGAAGGAGGAAGAGTGTATATTCTCTCCAGAGCTGCTGTGTGTCCCATTATCCCCTGCACACAATTGTTCATGTATTCTCCGAGGGTCTTCCTCTTTATATTTGACAGCAGGGGGCAAACATTTTAATGGCACAGCCCCTCAGATGAACTCACACAAAAGAGGGATCCACTGACCATAGCATTCTTATAACATTATCTCATTGACCCAACTTTGGATGAATAATAAAGCTGTTCACATAAATTTCAACCGCTGAGACAAACCACCGTGAATACATCAAATACCCCGTCAGGTGTTCAACTCTTTGACAGCTTCATTATGAAAAATAATTGCTTTCATTTGGCAGAATTAAGGATTTAATTATTCTTTTTGGAAATTTCAGAGACTTTTACATCAGCAGCTGGTCTTACTTTAGCTCTTTTTGCAGCATGTATTGAACAAAACTCTGTATTTTTGCTCATTAAAAAACACTTCACATTTCCTCCACATATTCATGCAAATATTCATTTGTGAAAATGCAATAATAAAAAAATCACCACTGACCAGTGTGCTGTGCTGCCCCTGCCTAATATATACAGTCTTTGCCGTATCTTATCAAATGAAGCTGTTATCTAAACTTCCACTGATAATAGCAGGGTGATATGCTCAGTATTGCCGCTACGCAATCAGCAAACAATCCTGCAAAGATAAAGGGCTTTGAAAGATTTAGCTATGATTCTCACATCCACCAGCGTTCATTAAGAGGTGGGCGGGGTTAGTGACACAAACTGGGTCAGGGACTTGTTGTTTCGGGTCTTCATATGACGACCAGGAGTTGTGACATGAATAAGCCTGTGTGTATAAGTGCAGGAAAGAGCACTTATTTCAATTTATGTTCCTGACCTTAAAAAGCAATTGTGTGCATGTGTGTGCATGTCAATGTAAGTGTGTGTGTGGGGGGTGTGCTCCTCAGCCTGTGTGCTTATATGTTTCACATGTTTATCCTGAACTTTGCTTAAGGCAGTGCAACAATACTTGAAGTTGCCACAACATGACAACATGTGAGGACTTATCCAATCACACAGTAGTGATATGTGGAACAGAGTTCAATAAAAATTTGTGATATTTAATGTTCAAATGACACAAAACCTGAGTAAAAAGTTATTACAGGACACATTTAGGCCTCAACTTTCATCTTTTTTCTCCTCATCTTATCTTATGTCATCTTCTGTTAATTCCACTTTTGAGGAAACCCCTCTTATAGAGTTGTGTCTCCCCTTTTTGCTGTTGTACTCCATATGAGAGGTACGGGACATTTTGGTGTGGTAGTACAAACCTTTAACCTCTCTGCTATTACTTTTACTGACTAGCTAGTTATAGTGTCACTCGTTGTTTATTAGCTTGCTAGTTATTGTGTAGTATTGTGAGCATATTCCTGTTGGTCATTTTGTGTAGGTCCCCTTGAGGATTTTATTATTTGGCTCTTTTTGTCAGAATAAACAGAGATATAGTCTGGCCCTTTTTACTGTAAGTCACACGCTATAAACTCCAGCAGTTACACATACACTGTAAATACAACTGTTGAGATATTGTCTACTAACTATCGCATAGTTTGTCTTAATCTATACACGTATATGGTTCTGTTGCTCTACTTTTTAAAATCAGCATACTCTCCGTATAAACCATCAATCTTTGGCCTGATTCATGTGATATTTTACATTTCAAATGTCACAATCATGTTAGTCAACATACAACACCTGGCTGCAGAAGTGCCCTAAAGCTATTAAAGCCATTAAAGACACATGTTTATTTGAATACCTATTACATTGATTAAATTGAGCAGATTCATTTGAAGTGATTGACAGGAATTCCTGGAAAGAAAGATATGCGTGCGTTTGAAGTTAACTTGGCCTTCATACAATTCAACTGACGGCATGAGCAAACCTCGACACACCTCAGCCGCCTCTTTCAGCAAGCTGTAAAACTGTTCCTGAAAATTACTCTGTCAGAATGAAAGATTTATTCTGCTGTGACCTGTACCTGGGCTGAATTTATCTGAACACTAGCCTGCGTGCACTACAACACACCATAGAAGAACACCCTAGGGTGACAAAGATAGCTGCAAAGCTTGAGGTGTCACTGAGGTAACCAGAGACGCTGAGCTGCAGAGTGATAGATCCACATTCATCTCAGGTCATGTAGGAGAAGCTCTGACCTCATATGATACAGTGAAACTAATTCCTACAATCGCATATTGAGGAACGAAAACAAAAAGTCATTTTGGAAATAAGATTTTGCCGAGACTTGGATATAGTTTATTCTGTACAGAAAACAGATGCAGATTTTGTTACCTTTGGACAGATGAAGAGGAATTCTTTAATTTCCAAAATTGCTCAACTATTTATTTTATCGTATTGACAATCACAGTTTTAGAATTACTCCAGATCTGACAGACACACTGAATGTTGAGAACTGCCCATTTCTTAAAATGACACATTTCTTATCATATTGAAATTTCTGTCTGCTCAATAACTGTGTGAATCACACCACTGGTACAAATGCCTCATTATGGCTGACTCAGGAATGAGCTATCAGTTTATGAAGCTACATCTATGATATACAAAGCAAGTTGAGTTTATTGAAGTTTCTAAAAGCCTGTTCACAGCAACAGTACTTATATGTTCCAGGAAGAGTTAGTGTTGTCAGGTCAAACAGTTGGAATTCATTAGCTGAGAGATTCTGACATCATTTTTCACTCACTGCGTTGGACAGCTCTCAGAAAAGAAGTGAAAGTGACATTATAACCTCTTACTCTTTTGTCATGACCCAGTCACCTAGCTTGTGTCTGTGGAGATTCTCAGTCATCCAGGTCATGTTGTATCCAAGTGCTAAAAAATAGGATCATTGTCGGTTTCAAGAAACTCAACAATTCCAGCTGACCGTTTTTTAGCACTTGGAATCTAGTTTTAGCTCTTTCCTTTCATAGTTTTTCATCTCCAGCATGGTGCAAATAGTTATTTTGGATGGAATATAAAATGAAATGTACATAGTGTAAGATATTGTGCAATTAACAGGTGATTGAAGTCCTGCCAACAGTACAGCCAGCCAAACTTTAGCAGTTATGTTTATATTAAAGATTGGATTACCTGCTCATTCCCATGAGAAACACAGCACAGGTTTTTATGGTAGTGAAAAAAATTGGAGGAATTCATTTCAAATTAAAAAATTCTTATAAAATTCTAGTTTGCATATTTGCTTATTCTTTGTTGTATATGTTGTATTATCTTTATGCCTCAATGATACAAGCAAAACATTTCTTTTTGGATTATTTTTTCATTTGAATTTTATGGTGAGAAAACATTCTAATGAACCTATTCAAAATA